GCTTGGGTCAGGCGCACCTTAGTCCTCAAGCTGACATCTTGGCTTTTCAACACTTTAAAAAGGTCTTGTGCAGCAGATTTGCCTAATGCAATATGTTGTTTTATCTCTTGACTCATAGTTACCCTGTATAGGGTTTTCGAGGAGTGGCTGGTAAGTTTGAACCTCCAACCTTGCAGTTTAAACCATCCAGTGCTTACCCTACAGAACCACACCAGGACTCTATAACTTTACATATCAAATATTTTAGAACATTTTAATAGATTCAAAGTAAGCACACACACACTCAAAAAAAAAAAAAAAAAAAAATCAGTAGCTGCACTCTACATCTCACAGCTCTGGAAGAACTTCTAGGTGGCCTTGTAAGTACGGCTTCCTGCCCATTCAGACTTATACCAGAATTCCTAGAAGTTTTCTATTAAACACAATTGACTTTCTACTGAATAAATTATTTTCTTCCTCCTAAAATAATCCCTCATTCCTAACTTCCTTATATCCCAAAGAGAAGTTTACTAATCCTTCAACCTTTAAATTGGTGTTGTTGTTGTTGCTACTGATGGTGAATCAGTTCCAACTCATAGCTCTACAGTGTCATATTTATGTATCAGCATTTTAATTTACATATAGGGTTTCTGAGGAGTTTCAGTGGGTTTCACTGGTTGACTTTATGATTTGCAGTCCAGTGCTGATCCAACAGCACCACACCAGGAGTCCAACCCTTATCATCTTATAAAAAATTGTTTTATTATTTTTTTGTCGGCCCTCAGGCTATCTCCAAAGTTGTCAAGAAAGTTTGACTCATTCTCATATTCCCAACCCAGTTCTTTAATTACCTCTCTCTCTTCGAAATGAAGCCTGATTTTTCTCTGATTATTATTTTAGGTTTTGGTTCCAACTCCTAACGTGGAATGCCAGGGAGTCGTTTCCAACTCATAGCGACCTTGTATAGGGCTTCTAAGGCTGTAAGTCTTTACTGGAGAAGAAAGCCTCATTTTTTCTCTTCACAGCAGTTGGTAGATTTGAACTGCTGACCTTGAAGTTAGCAGCCCAACTCACAACGCACTAAACTACTAGGGATTCTTTATTTTAGGTTTGCTGCTCACTAATTACAAAATAACAGCCTTCTTTTTTAAACTTAAAAAAAATACATCTTTCATTCATTTTTTTAAAGTTTTTATTGTGAATTATGTGTTCGTTTACATGGGTGATCATTATCTTTACATTCATCCTATCATATTTTGTTTCATTGCAATAATCACAATCCCTTGCATGCATCATCAAACAATGAAAGGGTACATCCCACACGCCTGCCCCTGGGCCACCAGCACACAGCCCCTCTCCCTCCCTGAGTCCAGAGTCCCCAGCCACTCCTTCTGTACACTTCATCATCTCTGCCTTCATCCCTAGAGTCACTGCCTCCCCAGACACTGTCTCGCACTTTGCTTTTCATTCTTTCTTTTTTTTTGCTTATTAACAACAAAAAACAAATGTTTGAAGAAACAAGAATATAGAGTGATGCTTCTATTTCTCCATTAATATGCATTGAACTGACCAAAAGAATCAGTAAAAGTTGTTTTCGTTGTTGTTAGAAGTCCTCAAGTCAGTTCCAACTCATAGTGATGCTTAGTACAGCAGAATGAGATGCTGCTTATTCCTGCCCCTTCCTTAAAGCATTGCTCTGTTTTATACCATTGTTGCAACAACTGTATCTATTCATCTCATTGAAGGTCCTCCTCTTTTTGCTAATGCTCTACTTTAGAAAATATGGTATTCTTTTCCTTCCAGATAACATGTCCAAAGTCTTGAGAAGAAACTGCACTATGCTCACTTTTAAGGAGCATTCTGGCTAAGTTTTTCAAAGACAGATCGTCCAGCTGTCAATGGTATACTGAATATTCCTCTCAAATAACATAATTCAAATATATCAATTTTTCTTCAGTCTTCCTTACTCATTGTCTGGCTTTCACATGCACATTGATGTTGTTGTTAAGGGTCATCGAGTTGGTTCTGACTCATAGCAACTCTGTATAGGGTTTCCGAGGAGAAGCTGGTAAGCTTGAACCATCTACTTTGCATTTCAAACCAACCTTGCTGTCCAGCGCCTTAACCCACAATGCCATACCCTGCACATCAGAAAATTGAAAATACTATGGTTTAAGCTTGGGTCAGATGCACTACAACATAAGTGTGGCTTTTTTTTTTTTTTTTTCTTTCTGTTTTCTTAATAGAGGATTTTTTGTTCTTGTTTTTTGTTTGTTTTGGATGATGATTATATTTGTTAAAATTGAAGCTAATTTCTCTCTCTCATTTCTTGGCTACTGTTTTAATATTTAGTCATGAGGTAGGATAAGCATGGGGTTGCTAACCACAAGGTTGACAGTTTAAACCCACCAGCTGCTCCTTGGAATACAGTGTCCCTGTGAGTCAGAACTGACTCGATAGCATATAACAGCAAGAATATGTTGCTTACTTTACTTCTTATAGACCATTACATTGCAAGTTATTTTAACTACAGCCAAGATCTTTTGAAGAAAATGCATGCATGACTTAAAATAAACAATAAAGAATATACTTTTTAAAAAGAAATCACTTATTTGGAGAGAGAGATACTATTATGTTCCATGCTATATCCCACAGTATTATTTTTTTATGCACATTTTTTTTTCAGAGATAGCTACCAGGAAATGCTAATATATAGGAAACTTTCTGTAAGATCTACTAGTAGCAATAATATAGCAAATATAATTAAACAATTTTATATGAACTAGTTTTACCTTTGCATTATAGGGAATGTAGTGCTTTGATAAAGCTTCTGGAGTATGCATCCATGTTTTGTCTGTAATGAAGAATACACAGCATTAAATTAAATTATATCCTCTGCAGTGTCATATTTATGTATTAGCATTTTAAAGGGTCCAAAATGAATAAGCGCAGTTTAAATTCTGAGACTCTTGGGAAACTGAGAGAGAAAAACTACTCTTCTAATAAGCTACATCACTGTTGCTGGTGAGTGATTATGGGATTCTTCCCTTGATGTAAAAGTCCCTAGCTGTCCTTTTCAAATATTTACAAATAGTATAAATAATAGTATATATATTTTTAAGAATATGTAAAAATAAACATCAGTTGCGCTATGAATGATTTTATCGATTGAGATTAAAAGCAAATATCTTTCTTCTTTATGCTTTCATGAAGTAACATTCCTTTTTTGTTAATTTTCTGATCAACGAAAAGTAATCTGTTTTTTACTCATGGTGATGACTATTGTTTTTTGGCGGCAAGAATTAGTTAGTTATTAAAAGACTCTTTTAACATTAAACTTATCATTCAAATAACTCAAACTATTATGTTTATTGCTAAGTAAATTTAGACAAATTAATTTAGGGCCTAATATCAAGAGGTGTGGATATATATATTCTTAAATGTAGTCTTTGAAATGTTTCTTAGATAATTGCAATAAAATATTAGAGATGAAAGAAACTCAGCATGAGAAATAAATTGAAACTATGTATTGTATAGTCCTCATTTGTTGTTGCATGTGGTTCTGACTCATAGTGACTTGTAAAGGGTTTTCAAAGCTTTAAATCTTCATGCAGCAGAAAGTCTCATCTTTCTCCCATGGAGCAACTAGTGAATTCAAGCTGCTGGCCTTGTAATTAGTGGCCCAGCATGCCATTAGCATCCTTTATACTGGTAGAAATAGAAACGCAAAAATCCATTTCTTATTCAATTCTTGATTTTTATTCATTTATTTAATGTACTAGCCAAACACTCTGCAAGTATAAAGAGGGGACAATACACACACAAAAATATAGAATTCAAATGACTTTTAATTTTTTTTAATGAGGTAGCATTTGTTTGGAGTAAGTCTTCAGATTCTTCAACTGTATTGTTTTCTCAGTACAATTTTCTGTGTACTTGTTTCTGTTTTGTTTTATAGGAGCTTGTAAATTTAGAATGAAAATTGTAAACAGAATAGAAACAAAGGCTGAATTTAACATCAAATATATTAGGTACCAGCTGCTCCTCGGAAACCCTATGCAGGGTCGCTATGGGTTGGAACTGACTCGACAGCTCTTCAAAACAACAACAACATGTTAGGTAAATACTGAGATAAAATTTTGGATTAATAGCAAAACTTTTTCAATATTCAATTCACAATACTTTAAAATGCTGTGGCAGAAATTAATTGAACATTAGTTTGTTCTTTAAAAACTAGAAGACTATAAAGGCAAAGAAAAAGTGGCATATAGTCTAGGAATGTCAATTTTATTTTAAAAGAAAATGTACATCTATTTAGTGCATTTCTATATTGGAGTACAATTTGAAATTCACAATAATTTGTAAGAGAGAACATAAGGTATTAAAAAAACTTCATTCTCATAGTACCTCATAACTATTTCTGCATACTTGGGCAGATATGCAATAGCTGTTGGTGAAATGTTTTGAGATGGTTCAAAGGAACTATGACATTGGTATTTAGTATGTAAAATTTTTACTTCATGTCTTATTTTTATCTTCGAGTGTTATCCCTATAATTGCTAATGAAGACATGTGATTAATTCAGGAATAAGTTATATTTAGATCTGGGATATAATCTTCTCCTTATACTATACTGAAATAAGTAAATCACAATATTGCACATCAAAATAATAAAAACATAAAAAAACCTACCTTGAGGATCAGATTTACAGTGCCACTTTTACCTTTTAACTCAACTTTTCTCCTGGCTCTCTTTCCAAAACATACATCTCTCTCAGGAAGACATAAGGCCTGACTAAAGTCAGAATATAATGCTTTACAGCAATCCTGAGGCAAGGAGATAATTGCTTTTCTTGAAAGTCACTATTATTTGAAAGCTGATGATATTTTTTCTGTTATAAAGTGTCAGATAGTGGTAACCTAGAATGGGGTGGTTATACACAGATACTCCTGATATTGGACTAAAATAATTACAAAATTAAATTATAAGTGAAAAATCTGTAGCTTCTCAATAATAAAAACATGCATGAATAGTGCATAATTGTATGCTGATGTTTGGGGGTTTGTTCACTGCACAATCACTATTCTAAGTAGTGCATTTATAAGACCTGAAGGATTCTCAAAATACACCTTTGTTCTCAACGTAGTTTATAATTTGGCAAAAGAAAAAAAAAAGTAGCAGACTAAAACTCTTTATATTATTTCTTAGAGATGTGGTTGAGCCTTGAGGAAAGAATACAAGTAATCATCCTTGGTCACTATAAAATCGAAAGCCATCCAAACCCGGTGCCATTGAGCCAATCCCTAGTCATAGCAACAATTTATAGAATTTCTGAGATAGTAAATCTTTATGGGAACAGAAAGCCTCATCTTTCTCCCACAGTCAGGTTGTTGGGCTTACACTGCTGACTTTGTGGTGTTAGCAGTCTAGTGCTTAACCTACAGCACCAATAGTGCTCCTTCGGTCATTATAAAGTATCCACAGAAGCAACTCAATATTGGGACTCATTAAAAAATGGGAATATAGATATTCTAGAGTTTCTCCTTCTTTCCTGAAATTAACTACAATCACTAACTCAGTATAGAACACTCACACGAAATGCCACCATTTCAACATATTTTACAAGGTCAAACGACTCTCACTGCTGGGTCAATAAAGTTTCATTTTAAAAATGCATTTAGATTAAGAGCTCATCAAGAAGGATGAAGATGATTTCACTATTCTTGTATCACTTGAGGTTAATGTAATAAAAACACCTACTTTGAAAGTCTGAAACTAATAAGATTTCCATAAAAGGAAAATAATATGTACACTCTGAATTTCAAGTGTCATGCACTGTGATGATATTTACTCATCAGTATGTCAACAGATTTGTTAAAAGAAAATGTAACCCGTTGAATTATTTAATCACATACTATGTTTTAGGCCCATTATTAAAAAAACTTTTTTATGTAATAGCTAGAATATAAGATTTTACTTAAAGTTTAATGAGGAAGTCAGTCTAGGTAAAAAAGATACAAAACATACTATTCTTTAAAATTTAATCTATGGTTTTATGTTAGATTAATTTTTATGTAGCACTTCAAAACATGGCTCAAAATGATGTAATTCTGAGACATTCTGTATTCTTTGGAATGCATCAGCAATTCTAATATCTTAGAGCACTTGCAACAAATTCACTGCAGTACCTGACTAATGCAGTAAAAAAAGATCAGATAAATTACTATTTAGATATTTAATACAAAAAAGAAGGAAAACAAAACACTTATGCTTAGTTTGAAGATGACAATCTTTTCCCCTTAGGCTTCTGAAGCCCAGGACCATTTGGTAAAATTGCACATGATGACTAAGTTAATTGGATATCATTGAAAAATGAAATAACCTTTACTGATACAAGACCATCTTGTTTTGTTTAGAATACTACGCACAGTGTATATGTTGATGCTACTTATTGGAAACATGACTTCAATTATATATTCTCTAGAGGTATAATTATAGCTCTATATGTCAAGACATATCAATCCTCTCATAAAATTAAAGTTTTACATTTCAAATTAAAGTTGGCTTTAAAAAATGTTATTGGTTGAAACTAGAGGCTGAGAAGTTATTCACTCTGAGAAGTGATTCTCTAAATGAGAATCAGAAACGGTTCTTTGAGTTTAAGGTAGAACATCCAGTATCAACTTCTTTCTTGGATTAAAATATTAATCAATAATTTCCTTTAAAGGATATTTAGTCACGACACTTGGAAAATAAGAGACCAAAAGAAATTTAAACAAAATGAAGCCAATCAGGAAATAACAAGTGCTCAGCTTTTCCAGTCTCCAAACCTCTCTGGTTTCCCCTAACGTGTTCAAATTTACATGTGTAATTGCTAGTTTCTTGAATTACTATCCAACACTTGGGATTTCTTAATTAAGCACTGCTTCAACGCCTTTAAAAAAAAACGATAAATTAGAAATATGGATTCTAAACATTAAAACCATGGAAAGGAGAATTCCACTAAAATAAAGATAAGGCACAGAAGTGCTGTATTTTTGTTTTTTTTAATAAGATAGTGTGATTTGTGATGTGAGATGCTTTTAATTTAATAAAGATAGCTCAATCAATGTATTATAGAATTATTTCTACATTTTGTTAATGCGAAAGGAAATAAAAAAGAAATATTATTTCTGGTATATGATTTAAATAACAAACTAGCTACACAAATCAGTAAATATCATTTTGGAGTCCATTACTTAGTAAAATATAAAATAATAAATTCCTAGCTTTTTCAGTCTGAACAATGTCTTAAAGGTTACAATATCTAAATTCCTATTGGAAAGATTAATCCTTTGCACTCCATTGAAATGTTTAAACACCTGTCATCTCAATAAAAATAAAGGTAATACTTTGAGTAATTCTAGTTTCACGACTTTGTTGGATTTTTTTTCCTATACTAAATCAAAGATCGTATCATTTATATCTACTGCCCTTTATTAAGCTGAGTCTCATAAACATTGAAAGACAACAATTATTGCCATACAAAGGGATCTCCACCATGCTTCCTGTTTCATGGCTAAGAGTCAAATCATCATGCCAATCTTTTTCATTTGGACATGTGTCAATGTGCTGAATAACCCTTTTAAAGAGAACACACTGTCCCTGATTATATGGAATAGATTATTGGTTTAATTTTTTTGTCATTTTTCACACACAAAATAGTGTCTTCAAAGTTACACTATCTAAATTCCTAATGGAAACATTAATACTCTGCATCTCATCCAAATGTTTGAGTACCTGTCATCTCAGTAAAAATAAAAGTAGGACTTTGAGTAATTTTATTATATTTTCACGGCTTTGTTACAATTTTTGTTGGAATAACCACAAGGTTGGCAGTTCAAACCCACCAGCTGCTCCTCGGAAACCCTATACAGTGTCACTATGAGTCAAAATTGATCCAATGGCACTTTACAACAAATACACACACACACACACACATATAGCTTTTTTTTCTATTTTTTCCTTTCTGGGTCTATCAGGAAACATTTTTATCAAATGCGTTCTTTCATTACCCCTTTAAAGTACAGACTGAAATTAGCTGCTTCATTCTTATATAGTTAATAATGATATGTTGCTTTTATATTTTTTACCTGAAAATTTATAAAAAAAACTTATTTTGATCTCATTCCTATCAACTCATTTATCGGCAGTCCTCCAAAATTTTTAATAGAACATGAAATGGATACGTGCACACATGCACACTCATACATTTCCATCACTGCAACTTCAAGTAATGCCTGAGGAATTTCACATAAAATGAAAATGAAACTAGAGCTCAGATTACTTTATTCTTGAGATTTCACACAACAGCATAAAATCCCTTGAGTATATATTGCCACTTTTGTATTGTGAATTAAGTGTATTTAACAACTTTGTTACTTCATTAAGCTGTTATAAACGAAGGTCAATTAGAAATGTTTCCAGATTTGTGTTGTTCATTTCTAACTTCTAGAGACATGAAGTAGCACTGAGGGTTAATGCACTAGACTTCAAGTTTGGTTTGAACCTCAAGATCAGCAGTTCAAGCTCACCAGCTGCTCGTCAGAAACCCTATACAGGGTTGCTATGAGTCGGAACTGATTCAATGGTACTTAATAACAATTCTAACTTCTGGTGTGGCTCTGTAGGATCAGCACTGGACTGCTAATCACAATGTCAGCAGATCAAACCCACCAATTGCTTCTCAGAAACCCTATACAAAGTCTCTGTGAGTCAGAACTAACTCAATGGCACTTAACAACAACAACATTCTACCATCACTCCTGAGAAATCTGGTTTTATAATAGTAAAAACTGATTTCTTAACTTCTCTGCTTGATTTTAATAATATTGAATTGACTCCCAGGTCCTTTAAAATGGGCACACTTACCTTTTTTCCTGCTAAAAGCACGATTCATGATGAGGATCAGTCAAATCAATGTTAGGGTCAGTCAAACTTTATTTCCTATAAAAATAACAAATATTTTAACAAAATATATATAAAGAAGTACTGAGCAACTTCTTTTGAACAAATGCACTTCAAACATGAAGCCTTCAAAAATTGTTTGAGGGCAGCAGCTGAGTTGACGCTGCTTGAGAAATCCCTGGGACTGAGTAAAGAGAATAAATACAGTGCCCATGGCGAGCGCCAGATTCCAGTTCTTTAAGCAAACAATGGTCCAAGTCTTACAGGGCTGACTACTATAGCAGCTCATCTAGTCAAGCAAGCCAACAAAGACTATTTGCTTGGGAGCAATGTGGAAGAACAAGCAGTTGTTCAGCAGTGGTTAGAGTACAGGGTAACTCAAGTAGATGGACACTCCAGTAAAGACGACGTCCGCACTCTCCTGAAGGATCTTAATTTATGTCTTGAAGATAAAGTCTACCTTACAGGCTATAACTTTACGTTAGCAGATATACTGTTATACTATGGACTTCATCGTTTTATAGTTGACTTGACAGTTCAAGAAAAAGGAGAAGTATCTGAACGTGTCTCGCTGGTTCTGTCACATTCAGCATTGTCCAGGCATCAGGCAACATCTGCCCCATGTCGTCTTCATCAAGAACAGACTCTACACCAATTCCCATTAGAAGCTTCCTGTGCACTGCAGAAGAGAGCTTAAAAACATCGCAAATGGAATAACATAATTGATATCAAGTCATTATTTGTTGGTGTAGAAGTTAAATTTTTAAAAGTGTAAACTTTTATTTGTCCTTTATTTATAGAACCTAAAATTTTAAAAATGAATGCTTTATTTGTCCTTTGGTTGAAATTTTGCAGTTTTTTAATGTAAAAATTCAACTGCTGTCTCCCCAAAAAATGTGAGTCAAGATCAAGTTATAAATTGCCTTGTTTTATAGATCAAATTTGCATTAATAAAAGTTGCAAATCAGTGACTGGATCTTAAAGGAACAACTAGATGATCCTCTCCGTACTTGACATAGTTGTCTATTTATTAACCTCTGTTTCATATTTTAAAATGCATTTCCCCTGTGACTATTTAGATAGTTTGTTTATTAAAATCTATAATAAATTGTGCCGAGGATACAGAAAGGAAGCGAGGTGAATTTGATTTCAGATATTTATGTAAGCTAGTAAAAAACATGTGGCTGAAAAAATCCAAAAAAAAAAAAAAAATTTTATTTTGAAAATATTTACAAAGAACATTCTAAAATGTCCCAAAGGAAACTAGGAAAGGGTACACGTAAGTACTCAATATTGTAAGTAGTACAGATCATTACATCTCAATGGAAGTTCCTCCAAATTTCTTTAATTATATCCTTATATAACACACCCATTGATAGTTAACATGTACAAGTTACTGTTGTTGTTAAGTACTGTAGAGTTGATTCCGATACATAGCGACCCTATATAGGATTTCTAAGGAGCAGTTGGTGAGCTTGAACCACTGACTTTGCAGTTCAAAAGACTTTGCAGTCTGACACATTTAGCCCACAGCGCCACACCAGGACACCAAGGATGAGTCAAAAATTATCTGTACTCTGCGTATAGAATTTATTTTAATAAACTTTTAGAAAAGGCAAATACATCATCTTTGGACATAATCTCCTTGCTTTTTAATACACTTAGTCCATCGTCAACAGCTTTCATATTCCTTTATTAAAAATATTTTAGGATGAGCTGCAAGCCATGAATGCACCGCTGTCTTCATTTCATCATAGACAAAACTTCGTCCTTGAAGGGCTGCTTTCAGGGAACCAAACAAGTGAAAGTACAATGGAGCAGGATCAGGACTATAGGGAGGATGCTTTAACACCTCAAAATGAAATTTTTGCAGATTGTCCACAGTGTGGGCAGTGGTGTGTAGATGTGCATTGTCATGCAAGATCACAATGCCCTTGGACAGTAGTCCTCTGTGTTTCATCTGAAGTTTAGGCTTCAGCCTTTCAGTGAACATCTCACTATAATGAGCACTGTTGGTTGTTGAACCTTTTTTATGACAGTGTTCCACTCATGGCTCTTGAGAATCCTAGAAAATCGTAAGCATCAATTTTCCAGCTGATGGTTGACGTTTGAACTTTTCCTTGGTTGGTGATTGAGGACGTTTCCACTCCATACTCTACCATTTATTCGTGGTGATAAATCCATGCCTCATCACCAGTAACACTTCTTTTTGTTTTTAAAGAAACTTTTACCTTCCTTCAAGTCTCGGTTTAAATTTTGTTTGTAGATGTCCAAACACTTCCTATTATGCTGTTCCATGAGTTGTTTCTATACCCATCACACACAAACTTTTTGAATCCCAAGTTTGTTGTGAATTTTTTCATAGGCAGAGCCATGGCTGATTTGCAAATGATTTGCCATATAATTCACTGTCACTCATCTATTCGACAGAATCATTTCACATGCAGGAGCAATGTTGTCATCAACTATGGACATAGACAGGCGTTTTAATATAGTTGTAGTGTGGATAATTTTTACTCACTTTCGTATTTGCAAATGATAAGGCATGATAAAATTTTGTCTCATCATTAGCAGCTGTGGTACATAAACAGAAATATTTTAATTATGATTTTAATGATTAAATCATTTTTATAAAGTCACTCAGATATACCTTTTTAAATTTTGAGAGTTAACTGAGATCCAGAGAAATTTCACAACTATCATATAGTCACACAAACAAGTGGAATAGTAATAAAAGTGGAAAACCATATAAAACTATCTACTACTTAGGACTGCTTTACATATCAGGTGAGTTAGAAAGCACTTGGTACCATATTTGCTATTGTTTTGTCAGACATAGCATGAAATCCAAATCTAGGGTTCTTTTCCTTATATGCATCATTCACTGATTAAAGAGTTTCTCCTTAGTATCCATTCTATGGGCTGCTCTTATGTAAAAATTGTACATCAAACCAACAGTTTGGCTACAAAACATTATGTTCTATGAGATGACTGTCCAACGGAGACATTTCAATATTATCTATCTAATATCTTCTTATAAAGAACAAAAATTTCTCTAGCATTCCCTCAAAAACTCAAGGAATATTCCCATTAAGATTTCTGGTAAAAGTTCATTTCAAATATAAACCAGAATTGCATTGCCATCTATAATTGAGACCCATGAAAAAGTTCATCTTACTGATTAAACCAGCTGAAGTAATTCTTTGTTTGTTTCTCTAGCAGCAAAACACTCTTAAATTGATATTACTGTTTCATTTCTAACTAATCTTCTATAAAGACAAGTGCTAAAGGAATATGTCAAGGTAACTTAAAAGATTCAATGACTTAAATTTTCTCAATTTTCATCTTAGATTCAATCACATAAAACAAAACTCTCTATTTAATAATCTGCCCCGTACTAACTGAAAGACCTTTATTAGTAGAAATCAAAGGAAACTTATGTACTTAGTGTGAGAGCCTTAGTCTTTAGACGTCCATATACAGATGACAAGTTACATTTTTGCTGCCCATTTCTGCACCAAAGTCCCAGAAATCTAAATAATTATGGAAAGAACTTTCACCAATCCCACTCCAAGACTCAAAGACTCACTGCTACTTGCTGTTGAGACACCATTGAGGTAATTTTATGCCAGCAAAAATCAGTCTCAGACAAGTCTCCTCCCCCAGATTCTACTCCTTAGGCACTACATCATACAACCAAAGATCTCCCATCTTCAACCTCTCATTGTGATATCTGATACTCACCGTGCCTTAAGTCATTATCAAGATGTACCTAGCATTTGTTTGAAGGTTTCCTACAATTCCTTCTCACAGTAAAATCTGACTGGCAAGACTGGACAATATTTCCTTCTTGTTGCACGTAATGGCATCATCAGCCAGAGGCAACTCAAAAAAATATAATACATACATATTTGTCTTACTTAGGTTCTAAGTACATAATACATTTTCAGAGAATATGGATTTTTTTTCTTTACCTATTTTGTTCGTAGCTATATCCTCAGCAACTGAAATATTACTTGACAAATATTTAAAAACACAATTGAGGAATTGAAGAAATGAATGAATTATTGCCAGTTACAAGTTTTTATTTATATCAACTTCATATTTATTCTTATCTTTATGGCTTATTAGAAGTCCTTCCTTTTTATATATAGTTTCTGAAAATAATTATCATAATATAGCTCTTTTCTTCACAAGTTTATGACTAACTTACTCAACTCTGCAGGCTTATTATGTTCAATTTAGTTTAAAGTAGTGAACTCAAAGTGTGTTTTCTTAATTCTACATTCAAATTTATATTTAAAAAAACTTAGAACATTCCAGCTTTAAAATACAGTACGTACAATGTAAACTATCACATAATTCACAATAAAACATTTAAGAAAAAAAATGCAGTAAGTAAATGGTATTCTAAATGTTTAATTACTAATATATATTCTATTTAAATGCATATGCAATCTATGTATTTATGAGAATTATCAAATTAAAAAAAGAATATGATCTTATGCAAAGTAAATCATAAATACCATGTGAAATTTTAAATTCAAAAGCTCTAAGTTTAACTCTATTGATTAGCTAGCTCCAAAGATGATTTTAATATTCTAATTTTGTTTGAAAGAGTATCGTTTCTAGTTAGATTAAAATTAGAGTCTATTAAATTGCGCAATTGTAGTCACCATATAGCTACATGCCAATAAAAGCATCGCAGTTAAACTAATCTTTTACTGCCAAATCGTTATTGCAGTGAAATTGCTATTATCTCTGTTCATGAATTTATACCACCAAAAAAAAAAAGAACTAAACCCATTAACTGAATTATAAAATATCATCATTAAAACACTGTTTTGTAAGCTTTCTAATGACACAGTAACACTCTTTATTCACTCCATAATTTTTAATCTTCTTATTATATATGCCATTAATACAAAAACAGAAGAGAATCTATTTTTAATTAAAATAGTCAAATTAATAATACCATATATACTTAAAATGCAAATATAATTCACAAAAAAATTTTAGTTATTAT